ATCGAAAAAGAAGCCGCAGTTCTCGCCATATGGTCAGCCGCGAAATTGGTTTCTCTATGAACATGACTGATCCCAACCTTCCATTCCCTCTGTACCAAGTTCCAAATGGCCTTGACAAGAGAATCATCAATGTTTTCATTTTAGCATAACATATCATAGTTTTTGAACTCGGACTGACTGGACGGGTCGACCCGGAGGTAGAACCGGTCCGGATGGGCTATTTGGACCGGGTAACAATGGCACTGGTCAAAACTCGGTCAACCCGGCTTTTATCCGGTCAACCCGGGGCATTGACTCGGTCGGATCAATCCGGTTGACCCGACCCCTATATATTTCTTTTATTGTTTTTTAAAATACTTTTTATTTCAATAACAAAAACTATGTATATATATTTATATGGTAAATATTTATTATGAGATACAATATTATTAACACTTTCGTCAACGACTGGGCTCTCGCTGTAGAAGGACCAGAGTGATGTACAAATTTTATATATAAAATATTTAATTTTGTTACTTTTATGTATATTTATGTGACAAAAAATACAATAGGAATAATTTTAAAAATTTAAAAATTAATTATCCGGTTCAGCAATTCCTGCCCGGGTCGATTCTTAGGCCAGGTTTAAAAACTATGTAACTTATTTATAAATTGACATAATATATTGTAATAAGGCATGATTAAGTGGGGGAGAGAGAGAGAGAGGGAGAGAGAGAGAGAGAGAGAGAGAGAGAGATTTTGTTAATAATATCTATTGATAATGTATTAAAATATTAAATATTAAATTTTCATTATCATTAATTATAAAAAAATACTCCAAAATGACAACTATTTTATAACGAGTGAAATAAACATATAAATCATATATTAAACTATTATATATCATAAAATAAAAAATAATAATATTAATATTCAAAATTATTTTACAATAATCAATATTTTATTATTTTAATACATGTTATTTATAATTATTGTCTCGTGCATCGCACGAGCTACGTACTAATTGGTTAAAAATAATTGAATTTTTTTAAAAAAATTTATTTCCAAGCGTCTCCTAAGGTTTAACTCCAATAAGAAATTAAGATCACCGTTGTTATTGTCAACGTATATCATGTTAAGTATGAACAGGTCAATTCTCTCCAAATACACTGTCCCAGATTTAAAATATGGAATTGTATAAGACAAACCTTGTTGACATTCCTGGCAATTGGCATCCATAATGTGGATTTAAAAACTGAAGGATATGGGCCATTCGTTTGTTCACTTAAATTATAAAATTATGTGTGAACGGTGATTGTTTAATTCGAATATAATGTTTAAGTAACAGGAACACACCACTTCTATACTATTAATTATGTGAAAATGTATTGATTCTCATCATTATACACTCAAACATGCTCTGCAGTAAGAATCTTTTTCCATCAAACACAACGCAAAAGAAAATCTTCACACTCAAATAATTAACTAATCAATTTCAACAATAACACATTACAAACCCACTGGTTTCAATGAAAATCGTGCTTTCCAAACTTTTACAGCCTGTCAACTAATCCTCGGACACATCTACTTAGTACTTAGATTTTGTTAATACATATATATATCTTCTTATATGAAGATATTATATGAATCACTATTACCTACCCCTCCCCACCAAAAAAATAAAAAATAAAAAATATATATATATATAAAGTCACGGGCCACACTTTCCCAGCTTTCCACGACTATAAAACCGAAAAAAATCAGTCTTGTTCACCCAACAGCAATATTCCACAACACAGAAAATGACTAATCGGCCAATCACTCCCGATATCCCGACCAAAACATTAATCCTTGTAATTGTCACGAGTTTCATACACCACGTTTCTACTTCTTCATTCCCCAACCCGGACGACCCTACCCAAATTCTCCTCCGGGTCAACATCCACGACCCGCTCCAGCAACTCGACAGCTGGCGCAACTCCACCCCACCGTGCAACTGGACCGGCATCTCCTGCTCCGCCGCCACAAACATCATTTCTATAAACCTTTCCGGTCTCAACCTTTCCGGACCTTTCCCTTCCGATTTTTGCCTTATTCCCACACTCACACATCTCGACATTTCAAACAACTATTTCGGCCCCGGACTCGACTTCCACTCCATCTCCAAATGCTCGAATCTCATCTCCCTCAACCTCTCCATTAACGAATTCGTCGGCAAGCTACCCGATTTCCCGCCAAATTATTTCCTAAACCTCACAATTTTGGATCTCTCCTCTAACAACTTCTCTGGGGAAATCCCGCCCACCATAGCCAACGTCCCGAGACTTAAGCATCTAAACGTAATCTACAATCTCCTCAACGGAACTGCTTTCCCCGAGTTCCTATCAAACATGACCGAGTTGACTCACCTGCTCCTGTCCTGGAATCCCTACCTCCCCAGCCGCTTGCCAGCTGGCATCGGCCAGCTGGCGAACCTCGAGGATTTACAGGCCGCTTCTTCCAACCTCGTCGGGGAAATCCCCGACTCAATCGGAAACCTCAGATCCGTAAAAAATTTCGACGTGTCGCAAAACGGGTTACAGGGGAAGATCCCTGCAACCATTGGTGGCATGGCGAATGCAGTCCAGATCGAGCTTTACGAAAACCAGCTGTCGGGCGAAATTCCCGACACGTTTTCAAACCTCACGTCCCTCCTCCGATTTGACTTCTCCCAAAATGGCTTGACGGGGAAAATTCCCGCCAGCCTGGCGGCCCTGCAGGTTGAGTCTTTCCACTTGAGGAATAATTTTTTGTCCGGGGAGGTTCCGGAGATTATAGCCTTCAATCGAAAGCTTTCCGACTTGATGCTGTTTAGCAACGGATTCTCTGGAAAGCTGCCGGCAGAATTGGGCCTGCGTTCGGCCCTGGAGCAGTTTGACGCGTCCAATAACAACCTGGAAGGCCCACTTCCAGAAAACATATGCAGAAAGGGGAAGCTCAATCTTCTGAACCTCATTGGGAACAATATCTCTGGTGGGATACCGGAAGTTTATGGAGAGTGCACGAGCTTGGTTCGGTTGCGTATCGAGAACAACCAGTTGTCGGGGACTGTGCCGGACAAGCTGTGGGGATTGGGCTTGCTCGAGTATATCGAACTTTCAAACAACAAGCTCCAAGGACAAATTCCGCAGTCGGTCTCGTCAGCGAAGAGCCTCCAGCAGATGTTGATCTCCGGCAACAGTTTCTCCGGCGAGCTGCCGGAGGAAATATGTGAGTTGCAGAGCCTGGGAAGATTGGTGACGAGCGGGAATGAGTTTTCGGGAGTGCTGCCTTCGTGTATAAATAAGTTATCGAAATTAACAGAGATTCGGCTGCAGGGGAATAACTTTAGTGGTGAAATCCCGTCAACTATTGGTGATCTGGCGCAACTAACGTTGATTGATTTGTCGGAAAATGGATTTTCCGGCCTCATACCGCCCGAGATCGGGAAATTGCCTAAGCTGACATACTTGAACCTTTCGAACAATAAGCTGTCTGGGGAAATTCCGAACGAGCTTGCCAAAGTCAAGTTAATCGAGTTCGATGTCTCCAATAATCGGCTTCAGGGTAGTGTCCCACCAGGTTTGGATACCCAGTTGTTTGTGTCGGGCCTAATGGAAAATCCCGGTTTGTGTAGTTTTAGTCTCAAGGAGCTCCATCCTTGCTCGACGGCTAAACATGCTCGTAAAAAAATCAATTTTTTGTTGGTGGGGATTCTATCGGTTGTTGGGTCGATTGCAGTCGTGTTACTCGTATGGCTCGGGTTCAAGACCAAGAAAATATTCAATTTCGGACGAAAGGCCAACCAGACGTGGAAAATCACGGCTTTTCAGAAGGTAGAGGTGGATGAAGAGGATGTGTTGGCCTCATTGACGGCAGAGAATGTAATTGGGTCCGGAGGTTCCGGTTGTGTTTACAAAGTCGTGCTCAAGAGCGGGCAGATTGTGGCGGCAAAGAAGCTTTGGGAGGCAAATTTGGAAGAACCTGAGGAGGTGTTTCGGTCGGAAATGGAGACCATGGGAAATATTAGGCACTTAAACATAGTGAAGTTGTTGTTTAGTTGCATTAGTGAAGATTATAGGATATTGGTGTACGAGTACATGGAGAACGGGAGTTTGGGGGATGTTTTGCATGGGGAAGGAGGTGGAGTTTTGCTCGATTGGCCTAAACGGTTTGCCATTGCATTGGGGATGGCCCAAGGGCTTGCGTATTTACACCACGACTGTGTGCCAGCAATTATGCACAGGGATCTGAAGTCTAACAACATACTGTTAGACGAGGAGTTTAGGCCCAAATTGGCCGACTTTGGCCTGGCGAAATTTTTTAAGCGGGAAGTGAACGACAGTGGTCAGACCATGTCTCGTGTTGCTGGTACTTACGGATATATTGCCCCAGGTTTGATGCACTCCTACTTTTATAGATTAATAATCACCAAAACTAACCACGATAATAATCAGTGGCCTATTCAGCTAACATTCTTTTTTTTTTTTTTTTTTANTGTGTTTGAAGAATATGGGTACACGATGAAAGTCACAGAAAAGACTGACGTCTACAGTTTTGGGATAGTGTTGCTTGAACTTTTGACCGGAAAGAGGCCAAACGATTCCTCATTTGGTGAGAGCATGAGCATTGTTAAGTGGGTAAAGGATATAACATTGCCATCCAAAAAACGAGGTGGAATTCGGGAAGCAAGTGATAGTCGAAATATTGGCAGTTTGTACCAAATATTGGACTCTCGGATGGATCCTGACACGATAGAATATCAGGAGGTAAAGAAAGTCTTGAATGTGGCTCTCTTATGTACTATGGAGCTGCCCATTAGAAGGCCATCCATGAAAAGAGTTGTCGAGCTGCTTAAGAAACTTTAGCTGATACATTACCAGTTCAAAATGACGTGAGAATATAGTTGATTCTATACATTTTTAATTTTTATCAGGATCAGAAGATGTGTGAATATGTAATGAAGTAAAAGAAAATGTAGCTATGTAATGCGACTTTATGTAAACTTGCAAGTCGTCTTGAACCGGTTGAACTGCAAACCACGAACCTTCACCAGCCCGGAGCTTCAATGACCTACAATATGCTGTGAGGTGTCTCGGCAGAAAAGTCCGACTCTCAAGTCAATGTATGTCCGTGATAAAAATCGGGAGTATATATGTAAGTCTTTGTGCTCGTATATTTGTTTGTAAAGTTAAGAACCTGGATACCCTTTTATATCTAGGGTAACTTGGTGGCTAAGAAAATCACAGTTAGGAAAGAGATCATCCTTTCCTAACTAAGATCATCCTTTCCTAACTAACTAACAGGATCTCTTGAATCATGGAAGAGCCCTGGACAAAATACACTTCTCATCTATGAAGAACTCTTTCTCCTTCCACTGCACGGCTCTTAGGTTTCGAGGTCACCAACCCGATCTGCTTACCTACCGGCCACTAGTCTAATTGGTGTCGTAACTACGACCTTGACCACACCGACCTACTGGTAATGAGGTCTCTTCTTCTACTCAGCTGTTTAGGTCTCCCGACCTCCGAGTTACCTGGTCTCTCTAGTATCCGAGCTTACTTCGCCTGCCGACGTCCGTGCTATGCGAGGTTTGTGGAATGTAGATGTTGAATCGGATGAAGCTCTTCTGAATCGTTAAAGACGGAGCTGACCCTTTTGGTCGGCTATCTAAGCTATTCTAGATGCTATATCATCTAGCCCCCCATTCTTGGACGAGTTGTCCGCCGACGCACTAGCCTTAAATCCCCTGAAGCGCGTGACCTATGTACTCGTGCCCGTTCATAAATGTCTTCTCGAATGCCATCACACCTTCTTCTTCCCACCCTATAAAAGCTACGGCGATATATCAGTTTCAGTTTTTACCGTTTTTGAATTCTTAAGCCTCCTTTAGCAAGAATATTCTAGCAACCCTAAGAATTTTTCGACAATCTCATCAGTTTTCCGATCATATCCTTCACAACCACCATGTCGAACATTGGTATGTACGTCTGAACTTCTCCCTCGTTTTTCCTCTTTTATCTTTTTTGGTTTTATTCTCTATATTTCGGCAACCTCTCCCTGTCCTTCTTCGAACTTTACGTTGATAAAATTCCGACAAATATGGAAAATTTTAATAATACCTCGTCGTCGTCCTCCCAAGTCCCAACCCATGCGAACTTTCCTTAACTCTAGCCCTTCCTATTCCTCACCGCCAAGTCGACCACGTCACGTAAAAGCTAAAGCTATGTCCTCTATAGTGAGGGAGGTCAGACCAAACCCTATCACATCCTACTCCACTCACCGCAACTCTAACCTTCTCCACAAAATCGAGCTCCCTCAAGGCTGGGAATTTAGGACCTCCAAGGCCAGTGAATCGTTTGACCAACCAAGTAATCGGCGAACCATGTGTGTTTCTTATTTCCTACATCTTTAACTTTATGATGTGCATCTAAATCACATTTCTTTTAACAAACCACCATTAAATCACCCTTTTAGTTGTAAATTAATAATTGTTGACTGATTGTCAACACTTCACTTATAGGTTATTAGCGGTTTGTCGGTATGAAGGGTGTTCTTACAAGTTATGTGCGAGTACAAGTCAAAACGTGTGCAAATCAAAATGTGTGGAGAATCACTGCTTCGAAAGTCGAGCATCCACGCGAAAGGAGTTTTACACACAATCTACACTGTTGGGCTTATTCCAAGATTATTGCTTATATCTACACCCCAACGGTTGCATCAAATCCCCTGATGATATCTATGCGGAGAATCATTCAACTGTTGCGTCAATTCCCTTGATCTCCTTTGCCATCTCAAACTTGAATAAAGTGCTCGCCTCACCAAACGACTCTACGACGAACAGCCGGTTCTCATATCACTTATTGGGATATCACAACAAGCGCATCAGACAAAAATATCTCTACAACAAATAATGACAAACACTACTACTAACAAAAATAAACTAATATAAATAAATAATAGACGAGAAATAAAAAGAATACACAAAATTGATAACCGAGTTCAGGCAATATTGCCTACGTCTCCGGGCACCGCCAACCGCAATGTCAAATATCACTAAACTCACCAATAAAATATATCTATGATTAAATACCACAAAAATTATGATTTATATAATTAAAGATTTCTTTTAAGATATGAGATAAAAGAATAATATGCAATTATAACTCAAGCAAAGAGACATATTTATACTAAAAAAGATTCTACACATTTTTTTACATATCTAATGTGAGACAAATATTAATCGAAAATGACAAAATATAAAACTTGCACAACTCACTCAGGTTTATTTGCCATATCTGTGCTCTTTTTCTTCAGTTGCACTATCGTGTGCCTAGGTACACCTTGCTAGGTGTGCCAGGACAGTATTACACGCGCTCCTCATTCTCAAAAAGCTCAAAAAGCTAGAAAATTTAGAAGGTGTAGTGCACTCTCCCAATTTTTCTTTTTTAATGAAAAAATGAGACATATTACATAAATTAAAATATCATTAATTATTTATATTAAAAAAATAAAATAAAAATACCAAAATTCATAATTTTTCATTATCTATAAATAGAGACCACATTTGATAAGTTTTTGAACACAACTAATTTTCGTTTTTTGGTAACATGTTCACCTTATTGTGTATGTAACATGTTTATTTTATTCTATAACATGTTCATTTTATTATGTAACATGTTTATCTTATTCTATAACATGTTCATTTTATTATGTGACATGTTCATTATATTTTATAATATGTTCATCTAATTTTCATCTGTGAAAATGTAACATTTGCATCTTATTAGAGAGGATTTTGGTTTGTGAAGGTGGATGATATTCGATCGAAAGACTAATTTATGAAATTTCTTTTACATTCTACTAGTTTTTCACTTTCATTCCCTATAGTATGACTATTGCATAAATTTGAGTTCTTATATGTAGATTATGGTTTATTATTTCAGGGCGGGGGTGCTTGCATTAAACGAGTGAAAGTCGAGCAAGAAATTGACCAGAATTTTATATATGAAGTGGAAATTGGAGAAAATAATGTGAGAGCCCGTGATGTAGATGTGGAATCTAAACATGTTCATCTTATTCTATAACATGTTTATTTTATTATGTAACATGTTCATCTTATTCTATAACATGTTCATTTTATTATGTAACATGTTCATCTTATCGTATAACATGTTTATTTTATTATGTAACATGTTCATCTTATTTTATAACATGTTCATCTAAATTTCATCTGTGAAAAATGTAACATTTTCATCTTATTAGAGAGGATTTTGGTTTGTGAAGGTGGAGGATATTCGATCGAAAGACTAATTTATGGAATTTCTTTTACATTCTACTAGTTTTTCACTTTCATTCCCTATAGTATGACTATTACATAAATTTGAGTTCTTATCTGTAGATTATGGTTTATTATTTCAGGGCGGAGATGCTTGCATTAAACGAGTGAAAGTCGAGCAAGAAATTGACCAGAATTTTATATATGAAGTGGAAATTGGAGAAAATAATGTGAGAGCCCGTGATGTAGATATGGAATCTAAACATGTCCATCTTATTCTATAACATGTTTATTTTATTATGTAACATGTTCATCTTATTCTATAACATGTTCATTTTATTATGTAACATGTTCATCTTATCGTATAACATGTTCATTTTATTATGTAACATGTTCATCTTATTTTATAACATGTTCATCTAAATTTCATATGTGAAAAATGTAACATTTTCATCTTATTAGAGAGGATTTTGGTTTGTGAAGGTGGAGGATATTCGATCGAAAGACTAATTTATGAAATTTCTTTTACATTCTACTAGTTTTTCACTTTCATTCCCTATAGTATGACTATTGCATAAATTTGAGTTCTTATCTGTAGATTATGGTTTATTATTTCAGGGCGGAGATGCTTGCATTAAACGAGTGAAAGTCGAGCAAGAAATTGACCAGAATTTTATATATGAAGTGGAAATTGGAGAAAATAATGTGAGAGTCCGTGATGTAGATATGGAATCTAAACATGTCCATCTTATTCTATAACATGTTTATTTTATTATGTAACATGTTCATCTTATTCTATAACATGTTCATTTTATTATGTAACATGTTCATCTTATCATATAACATGTTCATTTTATTATGTAACATGTTCATCTTATTTTATAACATGTTCATCTAAATTTCATATGTGAAAAATGTAACATTTTACATCTTATTAGAGAGGATTTTGGTTTGTGAAGGTGGAAGATATTCGATCGAAAGACTAATTTATGAAATTTATTTTACATTCTACTAGTTTTTCACTTTCATTCCCTATAGTATGACTATTGCATAAATTTGAGTTCTTATCTGTAGATTATGGTTTATTATTTCAGGGCGGAGATGCTTGCATTAAACGAGTGAAAGTCGAGCAAGAAATTGATCAGAATTTTATATATGAAGTGGAAATTGGAGAAAATAATGTGAGAGCCCGTGATGTAGATATGGAATCTAAACATGTCCATCTTATTCTATAACATGTTTATTTTATTATGTAACATGTTCATCTTATTCTATAACATGTTCATTTTATTACGTAACATGTTCATCTTATCCTATAACATGTTCATTTTATTATGTAACATGTTCATCTTATTTTATAATATGTTCATCTAAATTTCATATGTGAAAAATGTAACATTTTCATCTTATTAGAGAGGATTTTGGTTTCTGAAGGTGGAGGATATTCGATCGAAAGACTAATATATGGAATTTCTTTTACATTCTACTAGTTTTTCACTTTCATTCCCTATAGTATGACTATTGCATAAATTTGAGTTCTTATCTGTAGATTATGGTTTATTATTTCAGGGCGGAGATGCTTGCATTAAACGAGTGAAAGTCGAGCAAGAAATTGACCAGAATTTTATATATGAAGTGGAAATTGGAGAAAATAATGTGAGAGCCCGTGATGTAGATATGGAATCTAAACATGTTCATCTTATTCTATTACATGTTCATTTTATTATGTAACATGTTCATCTAAATTTCATCTCTGAAAAATATAACATTTTCATCTTATTCTATGACATGTTCATCTTACTCTATAACATGTTAATCTTACTATGTAACATATTTATCTAATTATATATTTGCGTCATAATCTTCCAATAAGATAAATTAATTGTAAGAAATGATAAATTAATTGTGTTCCAATGTTCATATGTTCATCTTACTATATAACATGTTCACATGTTCATATTATTTTATAACACGTTCATATGTTCATCTTATTGTGTAAATATGTAACATGTTCATCTTATTCTATAACATGTTCATCTTATTATGTAACATGTTCATCTTATTGTATAAAATGTTCATCTAAATTCCATCTGTAAAATTATAACATTTTCATCTTGTTCTATAACATGTTCATTTTACTATATAACATGCGCATCTTAGTATGTAACATGTTCATCTTATTATATATTTGTGTCATCACCTTCCAAAAA